TTCTACGCTCAATAGTTCCTCCCCAGCACTGCAAAAACAAAACCTTCAGATTGTCAAGAATTTGGTGAGACGTTGCACTGTGAGCAGATTCAAGCTAGGTGAGATTTTTCAGTCCAATTATGATCTTGTCCGTGGTGGGCAGGGTCCAGCCAGACACTGGTGACAGGCAAGTCCTTTCACTGCAGTGCTGCACGAAGGAGATTGTGTAGGCAGCGTCTGAGGTCCCCCTTCCTCTGGAAGGGCCCAGCAAGCCCAGGAAAGGCTCTTTGATCTCAGGATAGTGATGAGTAAGTCTTGCCAAAGAGGCGCCTGGACGTCACCAGCACTGCCAGGCGGGCTTCTTCCTAGACGCTCTTCATCCTTCCTGAATCCCCCACAGCTCTGTGCCCTCACACTAGCAGAGCCCCTCACCCATTCCCATGACATCCAGCCTCTTTTCTGGGACCTATGCCTATACTCCCTGCACAGGGCAGCAGTGAAAGCTACAGTGAAAAGGCTGGTAAAGGTGCCAGAGGTGAACATCAGCCCATGCAACCCATGGCCTGGGCACCAGTGCACCCACTTCCTGGACCGTACTCCTCCAGGCCCCATCCTCCACAGACTACTGAATCCCGAAGGGCCTGTGCCTCTCTCTGTGTGTGGTATTGGTGATTGGCCCAAGGAAACTGAGCTACATCCCAACTCTTTTTTATCTTCTCTTGAGAGAGGGTTTAAGTCATCCCAGACAGGGTTCAAATTTGCAATCCACCTCCCTCAGTCTCCCAAAGAACTAGGAGACCACATTGCTGTGGCCAGTCAAGAGAGCTGAGGCCCAGAGAAGAACTAGGAAGGAGGGGAAGGGCAGGGCTTTCCCTCTTAGGGGTGAATGACCCACATGGCAAAGGCAAGGCTGGCTGGATGTTGAGAAGCTTCTCCTGGGCAGTGGCTCACAGGCAAGCACAAGGAGGTGAGGTGCATAGGTTCAATTTTTCTTTTGGGGTTTGGCTTAGTTCTTACAGCTGGGGTAAGAATTCTGCTGTCCTGCTCTCACAGCAGCCTCTCCACAAGGCAGGTAGCACAGTGGAGAGGAAGGGCAAGGGGCTGGTGTGGGGTGGAGGTGCCAGGAGGGGGCTGGGGAGCCTGAGGGGCACTCTGTACCCAGCTGTCACTCTCCCAGTGTCCTGCAGTACTACTAGGATGCCCTTCATACAGGCTGTGGGTTCCTTCAACCCGGAGTCCCCACCCACCCACACATGCACAAGGAAGGTACTGCCAGAACAGCCTGCCCCACTGTTCCCTCCCCACTGAGCTGGTAATGAATAACTCACGGAACCACAGGAAGAGGTATGGCACCTAGGGAGGATGGGTAAGTTAAGCCTGCAGCCGCATTTTACACATAAGAAAGTTGAGGCAAGAGAATTAATTTTCCCAAGGTCATGCAAGGCTGGCTAGTGAACCCTCCTTCAATTTCTAGGGACCCCAACCCTCCCGAGGCCTGAGATAGGACACCTGGGTCGCTGTGTAGGGAGCAGGGCAATCCCTAGAGAAGGTGGATTTCTTGGAGGGCACCCCCACTCCCTGCTACTGACACACAAGAGACAACTCCAAAACCTATCCCATGCAGTCTTCAGGGCACCAATCACCTAACACAGAGTCTGGAAAATCAAAAGGTAGTTAATCTCACCATGCAAGGGAAGCAGGGCTGGCACCTGCATTTAGCCCCAAGACCACCACATAAAGCCTCAGAGACAATCCTGTAACCACTCCAAATGGAGAAAATGAAATAGAGCAGCGTGTATAAGAAGGCAGAGAAATCATGCCTCCTGGTCTGGGTTCAAGTCTTGCATCCATCACTTGCCATTTGTGAGAACTAAGACAAATGTATTTATTTTGATGAGGGTAAAGAGGGCAGACTACATGTTAATCTCTTTAAGCCTGAATTCATCTGGGGTTGTTGGAAGATTAAACAAGTTAAACGAGTACCAAGATTACCGATGGTAGTTACTGGTTCTGCAACAGCATAAACGTTTCTAAGATTGAATCCAAAGCTCCAAAGCCCACTGATGGGCTCTGCTCCATGCCTGCTAGCGGATGGGGCAGCAGAGGTGTTTCCACCCAGTGCCTCAGCTGGGGTGGCTCAGGGCTAGGAGGAACAGCTCCAGGGACGTCTTCACAGGACATGTGGTAGGAATAGCACCTTCCACCCCATGGGGGCCTCTCGGGTCTGTATGTGATGATAGAGCAATCTGTTTGCCCAGCATGACAGCACAGTGGTGAGCTAAGTGGTTTGTCTCTACTGGCCATGGGACCTCAGCAGGCAAAGCACCTTGTCTGAAGTCACAGTTAGTATGTGCTGAAAGCAGGGCTCAAACCCAGACATCAAATTTGAGTCCATTCTCTTCCAGAATGGACTGGTCTGGACTCTCCCACTGGGCCCAGTCTTAAAGGCTCTCTCCTGAGTGCCGCACTGGGCTCCCTGACCCCAAGGCAAGACTGCTGAGGAGGAGCCAGGCCAAAGATGGGCTGTGCCTCCTGGGCCCCCAAGAATGTGCAGAATTCCTTAGGGCTGTGGCCCCTCCTCAGCTGCACGCAGGCCTCCAGCCTCAGCCCTACTCCCTGCACCTTCACATCCTGGGCTTAGAGGTGGCAAGAGGGGGAAGGAGTCCTCAGCATCCTCCACTTACCATGCTCTGGGATTTCTTCTCATTCTCAGCTGTCTTCTCTACAGTGTAAGCTACAGAACAGAAGGGACTGGGCCTCCTCTATCCTACTCCTAGTCTCTAGCCCAGTATAGCACTGAGGAAATCTTTTTTCTTTTTCAGATCATCTTTATTGATATATTTTCTTATGCTCCTTAGCTAGTTGAGCACTTGACAACTCAGTTATTGATGTCATCTATGATGTCATGAGGGTGCCGGTCATCCACATTGCAGCCCACAGACTGGGCAGTCCCCAGGATCTCCTTAATGATTCTGGAAAGTTCTCTGGCTAAAGACCGGTGCCACATCTGTTAGGCAATGTTGACAATCTCATCAAAAGTGGTATTTCCGCTGTGTTTAATGTTTTTCTGCTTCTTTCTGTCTCTTGGAAGCTCCTTGAGGGCTCTGATGATTGGGGCAGAGGCAGAAGGTGCCACCTCAATCTGAGCCTGTTATTCTGAATGGTCAGTTTCACCGTGATCCGCAGGCCCTTCGAATCACCAGTTGCCTTGGCAATGTCATCCCCCACTTTTTTTGGAGACAGAACCAAGGGACCGATCTTGGGGGCCAGGGTAGACGTGGTGCCAACTTCACCAACGGTGCACCTCAGGTACATGACTTTAATCTCGGTGGGGTTCAACTTGGGTGGCATGTTGGAGGTGGCTGGTGTCGAATGAACCCGGATTCGGGATGAATGAAGAAAGTTGCACCTTAGCCTCCTCCTAGCCGAAAGCCGAAAAATGAAATCTTTTAATACTTAAATGAAACCTCTGTGCTTAGATGTGCGTGCATGCGTGCGTGCGTGTGTGTGTGTACTTTCTTTGTTGCAATGGGCATGCACTTTATCCTCTAATACATTTTCTCCCTTAGTTTCCTCACTAATACCCATCCACCTTTCGGACCCAGTTCAGCTCTCACCTTGAAGAAATCATTCCTGAACCCTCAGGAATGCTGGAGGAATACCTGCTGGACAGAGGTGAGATTCTTTGTTGGGTCTTAGAAGACTTTACTTTGCAGGGCTCCCCTGGGGGTCCTCTCCTGCCACAGGAGCCACCCCAGAGACACAGAAAAACAAACCTAGAAAGTTGTGTGACACACAGCAAGCCCTAGCTCTGGCCTAGCAGCCTGGGGTAGGGAGGGGACCAGCTGTGGGCAGCCTGGTTTATCAGAACTGTGGACAAGACCTCTGGGGAAATCATGGTAAAAGGCAGGGGTCCTTCTGAAGAGGCCCACCGGCCTATCAATCACAGCAGCTGGGACCAGAACAGGGGAAGGCTGGAGGGGAGAGAAGCCCACACCAGAGCTGGGTCCCCAGCAAGGTCTGCCTGCTGTCTCAGCTTTCACAGCACTTCCAGCAGAGCCTCAAGAACCTGCAAGGAGACTCAGCACCAAAATGGCTTGGTTTGGTTTGGGGAAATGTATTCACTAAAACTGTAGTGCTTACTCTCACAAACCCTTTGCACTTGATGTTGTATGAGGAACCAGTGGGTCAGAGCAGGCACCTCAGTGGTCTTGGCCTGGTGGGCACTGAGCTTGCCGATGTGCTGGCCAGTCAGCCTCTGCCCACAACACCTGGGAGAAGGAGGGAGGGAGGGAGCAGGTGGGTCTTAGGAAGAGTAGAGTCTAGGGCTGGGCAATGGAAGAGGTCACAGGAAGAGGTCAAAGAACACATGTAAGAGGAGGGGAGGGGGCTCTGCCTGCTCATCCTCCCCCACCACAGCTGCCCCAGCACAGGGGTTGTCCTTGGCATCCCACCTGCTCCACCCAGTGCCCAGGCTGTCTGAGCTGAGTGAAGATGTCAGAGAAAACCCAAAGCGGATTGAGGTTCCTGCTCCCCTTAATGAGGTTCATTATCAGCTCCTCTGATCCTTGTAAAACCCGGTAGACTGGATTAGGGGCAAGCTCCCTAATCCCCACCAACTCCTCCCCCTAAGCAGCCACAGGCCCCTGACAAACAAGCCTCAAACCAGCGAGAGTTGAGATCAGAGCTCCCTGGGCAGGCCTGTCTCAGAGCAGCTCGTGGAACTGTGGGTGCTGGGGTGCTGTGGGTGGTGGAGGGGGCACCTTCCCCTCTGCCTGGCACAGAAGTGTGTGCTGGCTGGACGCTAGGTGGGGCTGGATGCTGCGCCTTCTGTCCAGACACATATCTCAGTGTCCCAGGAGCAAGGTAAAGAACACACGGTGTCTGCCTTAATAAAAATAATTTATTCTACTTCTCTTCCAAGTGGTGGGGTACAGTGAAAAGCAAGTACATGTATAGCACTGTCCTCCCTTCTGGTCCTACCCACTAGAAGATGGAACCGAGAGGACATTGTCCCCAACCCAGCACCCTCCACAACCAAAGGTTAGTGCTGATTTTGGCAACTAAAATAAAGGACAAAAGACTCAGAGAGGGGTACAGCTTAATGAGAAGCCAAAGCGTATCCTTCCTGTTTTCTCTACGACCTCGAATGGCTAAGCCCAGAGCCAAGGCCCTGTGGATCCCAGCATCCTTCCCCATACCCACCACCACATCAGCATCCGGCAAGCAAGCCATGCATCCCACAGCCAGCAGCTGCCACCCACCCTTGCTGGGCAAGTCCACATCCACCCCAACCTATATTTTTCTTGTAGCAGAAGCCCTGGTTCAGGAGCTCACCTGACTTCCAAAAACCCACCCTTACCCCAAGCCAAACCCCACAAAGGTCTGAGGAGCTGGAGGATGGGCGAGCCAGAAATGGCCAGAGGTAGCCCTTTCTTTTCAGGTGCAAAGCCTTCTTCTTGTCCAGAAGGAAGAGGAGTGGATGGATGAGATGCCTTGGCAACTGGGCTCACTTGCCCCAATTTAGGGCTAAGGCCAAGCAGGAGAGATTGAGGCTTCATCGAGAATGGGACAGGGCTTCAAAAAGCTGAAAAACAGGAATTTGGTGCTGAGAGGCCAGAGCCTGTGCCCTCCTAAGCCCCCTGCCCAAAGCTGCTCTCCCTTGCTGGTCAGCTGTGCATGAACCCGGTTCTTGTCTCCTGGGAAGTCACCTTCCCAGCACTAGACTTCCCCGGGCTTCACTGGAGTAGCGGGCTCTCCTGAACTTTCCACCCTCCTGGGCTGGACATGGGAGGCAGGAAAGGCAACTGAGCAGAGGATACCCACAGAACACAGCCTCCCTGCCAATCAAGAGGTTCAGGTTGCAAGGTGACCCACATGGCCCTTCAGGACCCTCATTCTGGCCCGAAAGTAGATATACATGGCCAGCAAGCCCATGAAGGACAGGAAGTAGTCCCACACAGAGGCTGATGTCCAGGTGGGAAAAGTCCTTTCTCAGTACTTGCAGCCACTGGGCCTGGGCCTGCACAGCTTGGGCTAAAGGCTCAGGGACGCTGGCCAGCTGCTTAGAGCTGTGGATCCCTTGCCTCAGTTCTGAAAGTCCACGGAGGTGGTTTTCCTCTGCCCAGGATGCAGCCAGCACCACAGTCCCCGCATCCTGCCTGCTCAAGTGCTGCTGCCCCTGGGGCTGCACAAGCGCGGCACTTTGGGGCCCTGCCATGTACTCAGGAAGCTTCATTGAGAAGCTTGGCACAGGTCTGCTCAGCTGAAGGTCAGTGTGCAGCACCTTGGGGCTACTTGCCTCAGGTCTCTCTGCTGGAATATCTGGCTCAGCGGTGCTTCCAGGGGACTCAGTGATACTGGCCCGCTCAGGGGCCAGTATTGAGTTTCTGGTCACCAGTCCCAGAGCTCCGACCCCCAGGTTTGGGGTAGCTGCCAAACTGTGCATGCTGCTCCTCCGGGAGGCTGGTCCGGCTGGAGGGGAGTGCAGGACGATGTTTCTTCGGGAGAAATGGGCCTTGAGGAAGTGGAGAGTGGTGCCCACATCCCATACAGGCTCCCCACTGAGCTCATTGTGGCAGGCAGAGCAAAGGTCACGGGGTGGCCACTGCACCTTGGGGAACTGTGGATCCTCACTGGGAGCACCTGGGGAGAAAAGCACACACCTGAGAGCTCAACTCTCAGTCCTCCTCTCAGAATACTGGCTCGTCACCTGCAGAACGATGCACACCTCCTCCCAAGGAGGAAGTTAGAGGTATGTGTGAAGAACCCGTGTGGGGTCTGGCCTGCAACGGAGGGTCAGTCCACGGCCCTCCCCGTGAGTGGGTACAGCCACCCCACACCTGCGACTCCAGCTACTTCCTAGAGGCAACCACGCGCACTGTCCCTTTTTGCTAGTTTTACTGCCAGTTTGTAGTTCAGATCAGAAATGACTCAGAACAACCTGCTTTATACTCTGGTTGGAACTTTTTAAAAAATATTAATTTATTCATTTGGTACAGGGTCTCACTACACAGCTTGGACTCAGATGAGTGGACCCAGTGGGAGGGGGAAGGCTGGAAATGCTGTGCTGCATTCAGAGCTGCACTGGCTGCAGGCTGCTGGCCCAGCACTGTCCCGGAAATGCATCAGCCCGTCCTCCTACAGGAAGGACCCTTTCCCAAAAATTTAATGAAGGAAAAAGTTGTTTACCACTGTGAAACAGCAGCAGCAACAGCAAGACATGAGAACATCACTATGGGTATTCTGAGGAGGGGGCAAGAAGCAAATTCCAAAGGACCAGTGAGTGGTCATAATGACCAGGCCTTGCAAAGTGAGTGCTCAGTTAGTACCTGGTGATTATTAGTTATTAGGAGTCCCCAACTCCCAGCCCACAGGGGCAGCTTGGAGTCTGCAAGATCGTGAGGCTGGAGGGGCAGTTGGAGAATTTGGGGAGGATGAGTGAGCTGAGACAGGCAGTCTCCTTTTCAAAGTCTACCAGAGGCCCCAGGAGAGCACTGATCAAGCACTGCAGCACCACCTGCTGCTGCTTTTAGTAACTTTAATCTGCTCCGCCCCAGCTCCCACCCCTGAGAGAGCTGTTGTGGCCCACAGACAAGGGGGCTCTGTCTACAGATGGCTCCTACCCACCCACCTTCCTGGGAGCCCACCACTTTTGCCTGGAGGACCCACCACACTCCTGTGAGTAGGGAAAACAAGCGCTGCAAGTGTCACAAGTGAGGAAAACTCAGACGACAAGGCGGCTCCTTACAGGAAGCAGCCCCTGGTACTTCTAGACCAGTGACAGCGAAACTTGTAGAGCTTTTCATGGTACCAGCCCACTGTGGCACACATATTGTAGGTTCACAAGCACTGTTTTAGATCCTGGGTCTTCTCTAGCTCTCTTTATCATGAGATCCTTGCCTGGCAGTAAAACCCCTACCCCTCTCCTGTTAGTTTAGGTAAAAGGTCAACAGCCAGTAGGCAGGAGACTCCAAGAGGCCAGAAAGAGGGTCCCTGGTGTAGAGGAAAGGAACAGTGGCCTCTGAGGACCAGGGTCTTACGGAGTCCCGCCCTTGGTTCCCTTACCTAGAAGATGGGTCTCACGACACTGCATTGATTACCAGGCCTGCAGAGTGTGCTAAGAGCACAGGTATTAGCGAGGGGATGGTCAATGTCACCCCCCTTTGGCCCAAGACTCCCAAGTACCCTCTCCCAACCTAGACGACTACAGCCTTGAAGGTGGCCCTTCCTTACCTGCAAGGCGAGCATTAACCCTGTTGTGGCTCGTCCAGAGCCAGAGAACCGCATCATTTGGACTTCTCACCCGGTGCATGGAGCCAGCAGCCATCTGTTCGAAATGGTCAGCACAGTCACGGCAGCCAAAGAAGAAGCGGACATAGTTCCGGATGGCCTGGAGGACCTCCTGGCCACTGGCTATGGGGAAAGGAGGGGCCTTGCTCAGGAGCGTCAGGCTGTCTGCCCCTGGTATTCCCTCCAGAGGCCATCCATCCTGCCCAGTTCTGCTATGAGCACCCATGTACAGGTGCCTCACATCCCAGTCTATGTGATAAGGGACCCAGGGGCTCTGTGCCTGCTTCTCCCCCTCCAGGGGCCACTTAATTTTTTTTTTTTTTTTTTTTTTTGAGATAGGGTTTTACTATGTAGTTTAGGCTGGCCTTGAGCTCACAGTGATCTTCCTGCTTCAGTCTCCTGAATGCTGGGATTACAGATATGTGTTACTAGTGGGTAGGGGCTACTCTGAAGATGGCTCTATCTCCTCCAAAACCTCCTAGACCCTAGTTCTCCTTGGCTACTCATCTAGGCTCTCATCATTATAATCTCCAGCAGCATACCAGGCTCTGTGACATGGTTGGAGAGTCACCAGGGGGACCTTTCTCCTCCACCTACCAGCCTCACACTTCCTGTTTGGATTTGCTCTCCAACTTGCCTCACCTCAGGAATCCTTTCTACTCTGACCTGCACATCCACTAAGTTGTCTCTATCCCCTCCCCCTTGTCCTCAGTTCCCTCTCACTGGAGCCTCTGGGTGACTGGCGTCAGATCCCTGAGTCCTGTTAACCCTCCCACCTCCTTGCTGCTCAAGTTGTCCTTCCTCCCAACCACCCCACTCACACCCTTGTCTCTTCTGTACTCCATAAGGCTCAAGGTCACTGGTAGCCACCAAACGCTCCTTGGTACACAATGCTCCCCACACCCACTGCCCTGCTTAAAAGCCAAACTCCTTCCCCCCTTCCATCCACCAGGACTTTAACACACCACCCGCCACAGCACTTACCACTCATCCATGCCATCCCCCGATAATACCAGCACCCACACCACAACTCATCCATGCCATCCCCCTGACAATACCAGCACCCACACCACCTTCCCCCCACCTACCCAGCATCCTTGGCTTCATCTCTTCCTGTACCCAACCCAGGCCAAACCACCACCCACCCTGCAGCTGTGCTCACAGTCTTCACCTACCCTATTCTCTCCTCCACTAGGACTAAATATTTTCTTTCCTGTATCACTAATTTCTCCCTTAATATGGGATCATTCCAACTGGTAATAACAATAACAATAACAAAATCCCTTCTCTGACCCAGTTATTCCCTGCTTCTGCCTGTTTTTTGCAGTATCTTCCCTCCTAGTCTCTTCCAGCTTGATCCAATCAGACTATTATCTGCTCTCCCCCTCCAAAAAGAAACGAACTCTTGCCAGGGATGTCCTCATCTTGCAGCATGCACAGTGCTGACTGCGCCCTCCCTGCCTCTTCTCAGGCTCACTCACTGGCTCTAGCTCCAAGCAGCTAAATGCTATAGGCCCCAGGCTCAACTTGCAGCACTCTTCTCTACTACCCACTAGGAAGCTCATCCAGCCCTGTGGCTGGCTGTCAGCTATGCGTGGATAACCCAAGCCCATTTCTTTGGCCTGTACTTCCCCATCGTCTAGAATTCAACCTCTGTTTGGTGCCCAATAGGCATGCATGGGACCGCTGATTCTGTGCCCCTCTCAGGCCTTCCCATTGCTCAGCACATCAGGACCACCATCCACCCCCTTGGGTTCCACCACCACCACTGTCCCTGTTACCCTACATTATCTTTCTACTCCGCCAGCAAGTCCCATTAGCTCTGCCCTGGTAACCTCCCTGGCCCAGGCACTTCGTCCATCAGCACTCCTGCAGACCATTCAGGCCATGGCTCCCGGACTATGTTCATGGCTTCTTAGTTGTCTGCCCTGCCTCTCCGCCCCCATCTCTACCAAACAACCATTCTAAAACACTGCTCATTTGTGTTACTCCCTGTGTGATACTCTCCAGTATCACAAGGATTGGGACCAGGAACAGCCTGGAACTACAGGATTGGGAAACCCCCACTCCCACCCCAACAGCAAGGCCCCAAGCCCAGAAGCTCACTTTCTTTACTCCCTGGCTTTGCCATAACTAGCACCTTCTGAGCTACAAACACTCCAGATTTATTATCTATACCTGCAGGTCCATGGCCTGTTTTATGGGCTAAATATGTCTCCTCAAAAGTGGTATGCTGAAGTTATAAACCCAAGTAGTTCAGGCTAGCACTGAATTCACTACGTTGCCCAGCCTGGCTCCATTTTGCCTCATCCTCCATAGTGCTGGGATCACAGGTATGTGCCATCATGCCCAGCCTGGATCTCTTTAAAAGTAGACAAGGTAACATGAGATTATGTTAGATCATTAAAGTAGGTCTTAATTCAGGATGACTCATGCTTCACAAGGAAATTTAGCTACCAACAGGAAAAGGGAAGACAATGTGAAGACACAGGAAGAAGGCAGCTGTCTACTAGCCAAGGAGAAAGGCCTCACATGAAACTAACCACACCATACCTTGACTGTGAACTTCAGTCTTCACAACTATGAGATCATCTCTATTGGTGGCCTGAGGCCCCAGCCTGTGGTATCCATATAGCCACCTGAGTGACTGACAGTCTGGAAGATTTTCTTTCCAGATGTCCCATGACTGCTTCCTTCCTTCCCTGAGAGTAGCCTCCCACAACACTCTGCTTTATTTTCCTAACAGCAGCCATCATTATACCCAAAATATTCTATTTGTGTTTGCTGCCTGTCTCTGGAATACTGACCCCTAGAGGCCTCCCAGAGTACCCATCCCCACCTATGGTAGTAGCAGGTGGAGATTCTCTGTATGTTTAGTACCAACAGACTGACCAGCTCCAGCTTTGTATCTGATAGCAGTCCTTCTGGTTCCCTCTGCCTCTGGCAGGCTGTTCCTGGTGTCCAGGAGCACTTCCTTCCAAGCTGAATTCCTTTCCACCCATCAGCTCCCATCTTGGTTCCCTGAGAATTTTCTTGGCCTCCCCAGCAGCACTGAGCCCACTGCATTTAACACACATACCCTTTCCCTTGGCTCTTGGCCCCAGCACACTGCACAGAACTCTCTGTCCACCCTACCACATATTAGATAGTCCACTGAGAGTGGGGATAGGCACATTCATATCCTGCAAGCTGAGTTAGAGCCTGACACAAACCGAGTTCAACAGATGTGTATTGAATTGGATGCCCACCTGTTCAATGTTAGAAGCCAGGGAGTGGCCTCATGCCCCAATTTCAGTGGTGCTACCACAGAGGCACGGGGCAGGACTGGGCAAATTCTCAAAGTGCTCCACATCCTGAGACTGGTTCCATGCTTATTATGTCAAGCTGCTCACTCAGAGATCCTGCTGTGGCCCCCAGAAGGATACAGACCCACCCTGATGGGAAGGGCATGTGGAGTTGGTGCACAATGGATACGGTGAATAGATCCTGGACTTACCTGGCTCCTGTGAGCCATCTGCATTTTGCTGACTTGCCTGAACAGTCAGGGAGTGGAAGAGGAGCCACAGGGAGCAGGGAAAGCCCCGGAAATGGGGCTCACTCCCCTGGCAGCCAACCCAGTTCACCTTCTTGGTAAGAACAGCATCCTAAGGGACATATATGAGTATGAGTTCACAGCGGGGGGGGGGGGGGGGGGAGACTGACAAGGGGAAATGAAGAGAAGCTTCTAGTAGAGTCAAATGACAACACAGTCCCATGACAAATGAGGTCCTTCTCTGTCATCCCAAAGGTGGCACTTTCCTCCTACCTGTTCCACCCAACCAAGGATCGGCACATCTGAAAACCTATGGAAAAGCCTTTTTCTTCTTGGCATGAAGAACCAAATTCAGGGCCTTGCGCTTGCCAGGCAGGTGCTGTGCTGCTGAGCTACATCCCCAGCCTCTGGAAACCTCTGGTACAGACCAAGTTATATACCTCTTCTACCTCAACAACTTCATCTATGAAACAAAGGGCTAATCTTCAAGCTCTGACATCCTCCAAGTCCATAAGGTTTTGCAGACATGCTGGCTGCAGTGGCCCATTTCCCCAAAGAGTGGGTGGCATGGGCAGGAGCCCCGAGCGGTGCCCTGGAGAGGGCCACGACGAGGAGTGCAGCTGAGAGTGGTAGTTAAAAACCCTGGTGTCTCACCACTGTTTAACTTGTTTGTTTGTAGCACTGGGCACTGAATGACAGTTTCTCCCAGGCAAGTGCTCTATCACTAAGCTACATGCTCACTGCTTCTCCCTGGTTTTTATTCACAGCCCAGCCACTTGTCAGCACTATAAGACCTCACAGACAGTTATTTAAAATCTCTTAACTTCTGTTCTTTTGTCTGCTAACTGGGGATATCTACCTTCCAACAAGGTAATTTATGAGGATTAAATGAATTACGCATGAGGAACTCAATATACAGTAACTTGTTTCTTAACAGAAGCATCTAACCAAGATTGCTGAGGTCTTCCTGAAAACAAACTGGTCAAGAGACTGGAGATTACATTGTTGGTGTCGTTTCCAGTCCCACAAATATCAAGGATGGGGAGATACTCATTTGTCTCTCAGACTCACCTCCTTCCTGCTGTCCAGGGCAGTTTTAAAGAAACTGTAAGGAATTTTCTTTCTCTGCTGCCTCTTAAGCCAGTCATTTGTGGAGTGCAGGAAGTTCTGGACCAAGGGCTGGCCAGGAAAGTACTGTGGAGGGAAAAATGTGGAGGCTGGAGAATGAAAAGCAATTCTGTCAAGTTTTATTGTTTTCAGACGGTAGAGAGCTGTGCAGAAGTGGGCCAAGGAAGGTTTTCTAGAATGATCCCAATTCACCATGAAAATATTCTACTTAAGGCACAAGTATGGATTCCTCACTACCTTTGCTCTAGATGATCCATGTATGCTACAGGAAGGGGTACAGCAGGAGAGTCCCTAAGTGGAGCCAGGCCCTGAAGGCCCTCAAGGCTCAGGCTCTTATTCTGATCTCCATGACTTGTACCACAATGGAGAAGAAAGTCTGATCCCAGTGAAACTTCCCAGGGCTGATGAGAACCCTGTTCACACTTTCTTCAGATGGCTTCTGGTAAGGCAGTTGACTGGCTGGGCTAAGCTGTAAAAAATCTTTCACTTTATTCCATAGGCCACCAGGAGGGACAAGCCAGTCCAGGGGCTTAGAGCCAAGATCCAAATCCTGATGGCAACTCCCAGTAGTCTCTGAGGAACATGAAAATCTACTTTGACAGAAAAGTCAACTCAAATATGATTAGTATCAGTGCTTTGAAACCACAAGGACCCCAGGGAGGAGGAGGATATGTGCTTGTGCATGTGTGTGTGTGAGGGGGAGGGGGGATGTCAGGTAAAAAGATGCAGCAATAGAGATCAAATGAAACCTAAAGTCAACCAAGAGAGAAGAGACAGATGCAGAGGACACTGGCTCTGATAAACTTGTGGAGAAAAAAAAGGAAAAGAAAAAAATTCAAGAAAAGAAGGATCTTGGAAATAGGACTAATTAAACAGGGAAAAAAATGCTACCAAATCCATTCCTGAGAAAGTCATAAAATGCTCTCATCAAACCTCAGAGGCTGGATACCTCCCTCTAGAGTGAGAAGGGGCTGGAAGGGGTGCAGCTTCAGTTAGTCTAGGGCTCACGCACAGATTTACAGCCTAAAGTCAGCAGTCTGACCTTTGCCTGGCATCCCAACTTGGCCAGTATCAGATGGATGTTCTAAAGGACTGCAGGGAGTAGGGAACCTTAGAGGACACACGCCACCCAGTGGCCAGTCTGTCAGCTGCTCAGGTGAGGGAGCAGAGCAGAGGCAGGGCAGGAGGATGCTGCAGTGAGCTTTCTTCCCTTCTGATTTTTGTGCATGAGCACCAGGTGTTTAGAGTAGGGCTGGAAGGGATGTGAGTGCAAAACTCCCTGGGCAAAGTGGTTCATCTCTCTGGACTATTTTTTTTTTTAATATTTATTTATTTTTATTTATTACATTTATTTATTGTGTGTGTGTGTGGCCAGCTCAGCCCACCAGGGGGCGGGTCTGGCTGGCATGTGGTGCTGGGGATCGAACCGCGGTCCCTGTGCTTTGCCAAGCTTGTTTCAAGTAGGTGCTTTAGACCACTGAGCCATCTCTCCAGCCCCTCTGGACTATTATTTCATCTATAAAATGGAGAGTGTCCTGGTGGCCACCCAAGAACTTTAAGAGAAATAAACTGAGTGAATACACAGCCACTGTACACAGCCTGCCAGCCTGTCAAAGTGTAAACAAAGGAGCTGCTTCCTTTGCTCTTATTCAGGAAGCAGCTACTTGAGCGTGGCTGAGGCCAGAACATTGCAGTCTCCAGGCAGATATGCAGGCAAAGGTCAAACAGGAGCTCAATGCCCCTGGGCCCACCCTGCCCTCTCTCAGCTTGGTTGCTGACAGGAAGGCCTTTCTCCTCTCAGCCATCTTCATACATGGACTGCAAGCCGCAACAGAGCAGGCACATTGCAAGGTGCTGCCGAAGCCTCCAACTGACTCTGGCACTTTCAGTCTGATTGCAACAGACGTCACACTCAAAACCAGCTTTACGTACAGCTGAGAGATGCGAGTAGCACACAGGAAACCACTGCCTCTGGACATTTCCTTGCAGTGGCTGGACTAGGCTGGATTTCTTATCACCTGAGGTCTGCTGGGAGAATGTGCTAAGGGTGGGAGGATGCTACACAGAATTGCTCTAAGGTTTTCTTCTTGGGTACCCAGCTGTCTGTCTCGGGACTCAGTACAGCAGGGAATAAGCAGCTCTCAGGTCTCTGAGAGAATGCCTTTATTACCGGAAAGGGTCCAGTCTGCAGTGGACCAACAAGCGGGGCTGAGGGCTGCCATGCCTTACGCTACAATACCCTTTGCAGGGGCCTCTTAGTGCACTCCAGTGGACCAGGAAGGCGAGGACTAGTGAAATGGAGGAAGGGCATAGATACAGGCAGTTCTTGAGGAGGGGCCCAAGGACAGCCACAGACCAGGCTGAGGAGGGCAGCAGTCAGCCCTGAAGGGGATCAGTGCCTGCATGTGACTCAGTAGCCCTTAGAAACAGCCACCTAGGTTTAAGCAGGGCAGCACTGGCAGTGGATCTGAAACCAGAGGAGGTGTGGCAAACAAGAGAATTAAATGTTGAACAGACAACAGGTCTTCATAAGCAGGTGTTCTACTCCACGAAGCAGACACCTTCCCAGGAAACTACACAGGAATATGGCGGCAGGGCTAGGGCAAGGGACCTGGTCACACTGGGGGGTAGGGGAGAGGAGCTTCAGGAAAGCATCCTCTTCACTGCGGTACTCCAGGGATCCTGCTTTCCAGTGACCAAAGCCAGGAGATGCTCTAAGACTCAAAAGAGAAAACTCAAAGCAGATGAGTGGCATGACAGTCAGAAATAGCTGTCACAGCTCTGGCCTGTGTCCCACCCACATGCTGCACAGTGAATTCCTAGTAGTACAGGGATGCTGTGGAGGAGGACTGACCAGAGGGCAGCAGCCGCAATGGACTGGAAGGCTGCCATGCTGAGGTCCAGGTATACAGCCCGTCCCTGGAGGGAGGGGCGGGCATGGCGTGCGATTTACGCACATGCACACTATCACACGGGGAACTGCAGGGACGAGGGGAGCCATGGCTGTGCTCACCTTGGCCAACACTGCCACAAACTTTTTCAGGGCCGCCAGGCGCTGCCCTTCCAGGACCGAGAACTTGCCCACTTCTACCCGCAGGATGTAGTGTAGTGCAGATTCCAGGTCAGCCATGTAGATCTTGGAGCTGAGAACCCAGAGGAAGGCAAAGAATCAGGGGCATTAGCCACTAGGCAGGGGCTAGGGAGGAACCCTCTGGACTGAAGGGCTAGAAAAGGAAGGGCACTGCTGAGGGCACAGAACCATCTAAGTTAGCACTGGCTCTGCTACCGAGTGACCCTGAGCAAATAACAACTTCTATGAGCTTCACTTCTGTACAATAGGGAGAACAATATGTTGCTCATTGGTAGATTGCTGGATGGATCAAGTAAAGTGCACAATGTGGCAAGGAGTTCCTTCGCTCTAGTCCCAGAGCCAGTTGCCCCTGGGACTTACTAATCAGGCCCATCATGAGGCTGAGCTTTATTCTTTCTCCTGAGCAAAATCTCCCTGGGGCAGACAAATAGACCAACAGGGCACCAAACCAACTACAGGAAGCTGCCCCTCAAAACTGGGCTGGAGCACTGAAAGGGCAGACTGGGCAGCAGGCTTTGTAGCTCCTTCTAGGCTGATGGGCTGCTCATGGCTGCCAGGCCTCAGAGTCCATCACAAACTGGGGACAAGCTGGGGGATCCAGCAGGCTAAGCCACCTCATGTCCACCATGCTCCCTCAGAGTCTGGCTCAGGCTGACAGGAAGAGCCCTGGTTGCTCTCTACCTACCTGGAGACCTGCCTCTGGGCTGAGCTTGAGAGTGAGCTAGTTCTGTGAACTTGGGCAACTCAATCTACCTCAGTAGGCCCCAGGTATCTCATCTATAGAAGAAATAAATTGCTCTAGCAAATATACCTCCTGAAGGGAGACAGAGACAGTGAGGCCAAAGCCAGGCCAGCACAGTCACTACTTGTGCATTACCCTCAAGGCAATGTCCCCTCTGCACCCCACTGTGGTGTCCCTGGGCCTCAGTCTACCTCTCCATTCTCATGTGCCCCTTTTTTTTTTAATGTATTTAGTACAGGGTCTACAGGGTCTCACTATGTAGATCAGACTTGTAGTGATTCTCCTGTTTTCAGCCTCCTGGGATTACAGGAGGCTGAAAACACACACTTTGGGGTCAGGTGGCAATCTAGGCTATGAATAGCAGGTCCTACAGCCACAAAAGAACAGGATGAGTAAGACATGAGTGGAGGAGTGCTGGGATTATAGGTGTGTGCCACCACGCCGTCTCTCTCATGGGCCTCTTGAAGAAGCAGTTTCATGACCAAATAGGCAACATGGCGAATATGGGAACTGATTGGATAGTAAGCCTTCTATCACAAAGGGGAACATGACGTGCTATTCAGGACTCCCCATGTTCAACGTGGGGCCCTAGCAGCAGATATCCAAGAAACCATCAGTTAACTACAGTCCTCTCTGTGCAAAACTAACGGTCAGGGGACCCCAAAGGTCAAGGCCAGACTTTGGGGTCAGGTGGCAATCTAGGCTATGAATAGCAGGTCCTACAGCCACAACAGGAACAGGATGAGTAAGACATGAGTGGAGGAGGTGTGGGCTGTGGGAACGCCGTAGGAAGGGAGTTGGGGGTAGCCTTACCGATCAGCAAATTTCCACACAGTAGGCGCTATCTTGTCAGGAGTGGTTGGTACAGCTGTGGTTGGGGTAGCCTCCCTGGTAAGCCCAGAGAGCCTCTGCAGGTAGGCAGTGTAGAAGGATCTGGACTCCATCAGCCTGTGAAGGAAGAAAGCACAGGAGAAACAGTAGGTACAAAGGACAAATTCTAAGACTGACCAATGTCAGCAGAGGAACAAGGGTGGCTTCCAAAAAAGGCTAGTAAGAAATATCTGAACTTAGTTCCATCTCACCCTTGGTGAGGTCAAACTTAGGTTATCAAGGCCTCACTCACCTTCTATTCAATGCATACACTGTGGAAAACCTCTTTGATACTAGCATTGTATGCCCTTGACACTTGGAATAGCAGCTAGACCCAAGAATCCTGCAAATTACTCTGGGACTCTAGGCAGGGCCAGAGTTTGGACAAGCTGGGGACACAATGCTTGAAGGGAAGGTAGCCCCGTAGGTCAGCATAGTGTCCACACAGAACTGTAGCTCAGCAGAGTGCTTGCCAACATGCAGAAGGCCTTAAGCTGGATTCCCAACATTGCCAAAATATTAAAAAATCTGCCCATGGACAAGAAGAGCTGCCTTTGACTACCTATGTCAGACTGAATCTTCAAAAGGGACTGACCTCAAGGCGGCTGCTCACTCACAAGCACCAGGGGATGACCTTAGTTTTCAAGTCAAAGGAGTCTGACATGTGAATTTTAACAGAACAGCATTAACCACAAAGAATCAAGGCTTTCCAAACCCCTTTGATTTCTCTCTTCTAATACAGCAGAGTCCTCAAATGTAAGAACTGTCTCCTGAACACACAGTTCTCTCACTCACCAGGGTCAGGCCACCTGGAGGCAGGGATGCCCAACCCAGCAGCAGTGTGCTGGGATGCCCCGGGGAGCTGGCATCAGGAAGCATTGCTTTCCACTCCGCTGTCCTGGCCCAGTGTTTATCGATGAGCAGATGGCTGGGGAGCGGCATCGTCACAAACAATTTTCTCCTCCACCAACTCCAAGTAAGGAAACAATGCCTCCTCTCCCCACCAGGACTGGCACTTTCTGCCCCAGCAGCCAGGATGCTTCCTGACTTTCTGACAGGTCTGCCCAACACTGCCTGATGATCTGGGCCAGGGCAAGAGCAAGGGGCTGCTCTGCCAGCCTCAGCACTGGAGGGCAATGATGCCCTGAGGATGAGCTCATTGGGCACCTCAGGTGAGCTTTGATCTCCCTGGCCCTTGAGCTCTACCAGGCAGGGCCAAGTGGACATCAATCATCTGCCTATGAGGGCACTGAGGCACCATCTGGCACCATTTAGCGGGCCATTCAGCAGCAGGAGCCTGACAGAGGGGCTAAGGCTGGCCTGATTGTTTTCTCTCATATTTTGCAACAGGCTATTGTCTGGCTCCTAATGAACTTTTCTGCAATTAGAAAACCAAAGGGAGGGAGGTCCAGGCACACTGGAGTCCTTGCCAGACTGCAGCCTGGCAGTGGATCTCTGTCTGTGGACAAAGAAAGATAGGGAATAGGGCCAGGGCTGGACGTGGATGGTGAAGAAACAATCAGGGTTGAGGCAGGACCCTGGGTAACTGAGCACAGGGGCCTATAGCACCTGTCCCCCACAGAGAGGCTGGCATCTGCTTCCCCAGCACCGATGCTACGCTTGTTCTCAGAAGATTCTCCCAGGAGAAAACCTGAGTGCCAGGGCTATGGCCACTCAGGACAGGAAGGGGGAGTACAGGGAGAGAGGAGAGAGAGAACAGGGAGAGCTGCACTCACGCAGGGACTCGGGAGACAGAGCCATTCCGAAACAGCAGGTAGCAGGATGGGAAGTCTGTGACACCAAACTTGCTCACCACAGGGCCCTCTGTGTTCAAGACCCTGCGCACAGCCATGCCTTGGTGCTGGGACAAGTCCAGAGCCACCTGCAGAGACAGAGGACATCTGGGGATGAAGCCAGTAGAGGCAGCCAGGGTCCCAGCTCGGTGCCGGGCAGGCAGCAGGTGGCAGTTGTACTGTCCAAACTTAAAACATTTTAAAAAGTAGACCATCACAATGAAGGAGACCCTCATGCCACCAACTGCAATCAACCCCTAATGAGAGCCAGAAACTACCCAAGAGGAAGGGCCTTGGGACAGTGCAGACCACACACATCACATTTTATAGGGCAATCTCAAATCAGTATGATTTTCTTTCTAATAAAATATAAAAGGCAGAGTAAAATGTGGTTCTATTTTTATTCTTATATTAAGAAGCTTTCTACCTATATTCAGGTCATAAAAATATACTCATGAGACATGGTATTTTTAGATAAAAACAAGAATAGAAAGTATTAACATTTATCATATATTTCATACTGTCGATAGATGGTCTCCTTTAATTTTCACACCAATCCTGTAATAGGAACTACCATTAGGGGTAGTACGCTATAGCTGCTGGCTTGTGACTCCTGGATCCATCAAACCAAAATTCCTCTGACTGAATTTCCTTACTTGCAAAATTATAATAATAATGCGAAGCTCAGAGGGCTATATTGAAGATTACCAGAGTACATATATAAATATTTATTTTAAAAATCCTCAGTTGGCTTTGATCTTAGAATTGCTGGTGTGGTGGTTGTTTCACTGCTATATTTGAAGGCTCCAATCTGCTTTGTAGTTTGGTTTTTTATATATGTATTTTAAAATATACTTTTTCTTTTACCTCTTCAGGAAGTTCTTTACTGCTTCTGGGTGCTGTTTTGTTAATGAGCCTGACTGTTAAATGCTCCTAACTTTACATATGCTTTTCCACTTTGTGGAATGGGAAACAATACCCATAACGGCACCTATATGTAAAGTAGGAATAAGTTCCAAATGTGACCAAATGTGAGATAAGAATGTACAGTGTCTTTTGAGCAAAGTGCACAAACTTTATTGAATGTACTTCATCTCTTTCCTGCTTGGTTGCTATTTCATTCACTTAAGATTTATTAATTATAATTTATATTATGAATTTAAAAAATCCTCAATTGCAAATAGTGAAATGGATCTTAAGCATATAAGAAGGCAACCAAGAGACAAAGGGGTGGGAGGGAGGAGAGAAATAAGACTTTAAAAGATGGTAATACAGGGGATTGCAAAGTGCTATGTATATGTTCCTACAAGGAACATGATCATCATGTAACACAAACATATCAACTTAACATTTAAAAATATGTATGTATATGAAGGGGTCCAAGAGACACAGAGAAGGCAAAGGGGGAGAGGGAGAAGGGATTAAAAACAATTAGGAAATGTCAGGCTGGGGAGATAGCTAGCGCAGTGGTCTAAGTACCTGACTGACAAGCACAAGGACCTGGGCTCAATCCCTGGTGCTGCATGCCATGCCAGCCCTGGAACCCCAGGCACGTTGTGCCAAGCCCCAAAACTGGGCATGGTGGCACACACCTGTAATCCTAGTGCTGGGGAGGCTGAGGCAGGAGGATCACTACGAGTCCAAGCTGCGTAGCGAGATCCTGTACCAAATAAATAAAGATTTTTTTAAAAAAAATTTTAAGTCATATACCAACTTTCTTCATGATGAGTGTAATAATTATGTACCACAACATATACTAATTAATAGTAATTTTTAAAAATCCTATTTTGTAGCTGAGCAACCCAAGGCTTAAAAGTAAATCCTAACCTGGAGCACACAGCTGCAGCTAGCATGGGTTTGAACTCCCGAGTGGGCCACTTAGTCCCCTCTGCCCTGCTGTTGCTCACTCACCCTCCCCCAAACACCTCTGTATGGCTATGGGGCCCCTGCTCTGGTGTCTCAGGTGACTGTGGAGGAGGCAGGCAGAAGAGCCGATTCCACCCAGGCATGGGCAGGGACCATACCAGAGGCTTGTGCCTCCCCTCTCTTCCTGTGCTTTCCCTGAAGAGCTGAGAGGCCTGGAAATGCTTCAGTTTCAGCTCCAGAGTACCATCAACTATGCTGCCTGCACTTCAGCAAGAAAACCATTTCTGGCCCACAGTGGGGTTCAACTTTGCCCCAGAACACCTCCCATGAAGTGGCACCTCCCACTGACTGTATCTGTGAAAAATACTCAAGCAGTCAGTGGGGAAGTCCCTGAGCCAGCAGTCTAGTGGGCACTTGGCAATATGCTAGCAGAAAATCTTAATAAAGTACCTATACATGCCAGCTAGTAATCCGGGTCTTTTCCTTAAACTGCCTCACTACTTTCCCAGTAATATAAGGAAATGGTAACTATTCTTACTATATAGACAGAGAAACAAGGCTCAAAAAAAATTAAAGCGATTTGCCCAAAGACATACCATGTAAGTGATGGAGTGGGAATTCAATCAGAAGCACTTCGTAAGAGACTCACTTCCTCATGAGAAACAGAACTATCTCTTATGTTCCCACCTCCCCAGTGTCTCACTCCAATTCTATGCAGGTGAGGTACTGTGGAAATAGTCTTGGGTCAAAGCTCTGTTTTACATTATTAGCTGTGTGACCTTAGACATTACTTGGTAATCTTTGTTAGTTGTGGGACAAGCAGCTAAATGACATTAGGGAGATAAGATCAGGGACAAAGGTTTCTAATGGAAAAGTCCAGCCTCTACACTTCATCTTTCTCCCAGCAGGGGTCAGGCAGTACCTAGCAAAGAAATACACAGGGAGGAGATGCTAGATGGGTAGGGGAAGCCCTGCATCTGAATGGGGGCTCCCTCTCACTGGCCATCCCAGGGTTGCTGGGAACCTGAGGCAGCTCACCTCTCTACCCAGGTAGGAGCCTTCCTGCTCAAAGATCAGGGCCAGGTACTCTTCATCGTTTCTTGCAAAAAATCCATCAATCTCCTCCAGCCTGTTAAAAGACAACTCATGGTCACTCAGCATCCAGTGGGAGTGAGGCAAAAGTCCAGGGGTGGGCCACTCTGTAGCTCTGTGGTCCTCCTCTGCCAGTCTCCAGAGGAAAGAAACCAAATCTTCAATCTCAAAGGATGCTGCACTCATTACCTAATGACCCAAATTGGTTGTTTTTATTTTTTCTTTCTGACTCTTCCATGAGTCAGGAGAGGGCAGAAGGCAGTCTGGGGAGGACTGCAGGGAGGTTTTGAAACCAGCTGCTTCCATATGGCCTAGGCTTACTGACAATTAGAACCATCAGATGCAAGTCTTATCTGCAGCAAGTCAGGACCAACTGGGAAGGCTACGTTTTGCTCTCAGAAGGAACAAAAAGGGAACCAAAAAGCTAGGGGTATAGCTCCGTGCAGAGCAACTACCTAGTAGCACCAGGCCCTGGGTGTGATCCTCAGTGGGGGGAGCTGGGAAAGGAGGACAGAGAGATAAAAGAGAACCAGAGAACGAGAACACCCTGCGTACAAGAGACCTCAGAAGCTAACTAATCCAACCTTCCTAGTTTAAGATAAGACAACTGAGGCCGTTTTCTCAGATGGAAATGATTAAGGCAGCAAATTTTATGCCCCCATCAGAGAAGCCACAAATTGTTCTAGGAACTCAACAGTTTCAACAGAAAATACAAGTTGATTTTTCTTATTCCAATGAAAAAGAGAACAACCCACATAGAAGCCAGCACATGAAAAGGCACAGGGGTAAAGGAGACCATGTTTTTCAGTACTAGGATCAAATGCATTTTTCTTTTTGACTCAAGACCTCACCAAGATACTCAGGCTGACCTCAAACTTTTGAGCCTCCTGCCTCAGTCTCCTGAATAGCAGGGATTACAAGTATGTGCCACCACACAAAGCTCACATCTTTTTATTTTCAACTTGACACTCTACTTCCCTCTACTGGATCCAAGGACACGACAGTGACAACCCCAGAAAGGTACCACATGAGGTTGCTGCAGAGCAGCCTCCTAGCAGTAAGAATGGATACACCAGAGAGGAGTGGGTCACTGTGTACCTACTCTGCGAATTAAGAGAGATACTGTGGATACTGCTGACCACGGGGAGGCATCATGTGCTGGCCTCTCACCACTTCCCCAGAGGGCCTCCAAGCACCCACTCCTGCCTGGTGTACCTTCTCAGCACTGGACCTTCACTGTGTGAGGCTGGGCTCCCTCAGCAGTTCCTGCTGGTACATGGATCTATTCCTTCTTGGTAACCCCCCCCCCCAACGTGGGCTTCAGTTTTCACTCAGAAACAGGGAGTCTAATGTTTATAGCTTTACTCATAGGAGTCTCTACCCTTGTCCTCTCAGGCATTTGATCTTTTGATCTCCCTGGTCTGCTTCATGCTTATCCTGTCAGTGGCCTTTCCTGGGTTAGAACATGCAAAATCCTGCTGTACTTCAAATATTCCTAAGGACAGGTGAGAGATGCTTCGGCAGGTATGACCTGGAGAATTCCATGAGTCTTTTTCGTCCCATGTGGCAGGATGGGTCCTTGAAGGACAGGACTCTTCAGCAGCACTTGCAGCAAGAGAAGCCTGCTACTAGTTACTCCAAAGTGTTGCTAGCAGACTGGAGTGTCCACCCCAAGGCAAAGACAACAGCAAGAATCAACCTGGGTTCCCCTGCCCTGAACTTCCCACCACTCTCTCATGCCCCAGCGTGGAACCCTGGCCTATGCTGCACTAAGCCTGTCCCATCCCAAAATACTTGGCAGGTTCCAGTGGTGGACAGGCTGGGGGCCATGTGTCACGGTGGGACTCCAGGGCATCAATGAGTTTCTCCCGCAGCGTCTGCACATTAGCACCAGCCACTGTGAACAAAAACAGGCAAAGGAGTGGGGTCAGGAGAGAAGGGTAGACTTCACAGCCTGTGACTTATCCCCCAAAAGGCAAGAAGCAGTGCTCCAGAAATGGCTCATGAAGGCTCTGCCCAGGGTCTGCAGGGTCTCTCTGGTCTGCTCTGACACCAGTCCCATTCTGACATGAGGACCGTTCTGGGAACGTGGTGCCCCGCAACCCACCCCAAGACCCTGGATGGGCCACATCTGAAGGGCTTGTCCATCTGATGTTCTTAAGGTATTTGACTTAAAGACACTTTTAGGGAAATGCATTGTTTCATTTGGGGGCCTCCTTACCCTAGAATTCATAGTAAGAGAGGGAGGCAATGAAAGGAAGACACTGACAATACCAACAGGACAGCCAGAGCCAAGACACCTACCTGGAAGTGTTGTTCCTGAGCCATTCTTGGTAAAGGCCTTAAAGAACTGGAAGAAAAAACAGGCAAGAGTCAGTAATGCATGCTGGTTAAGGGCAGGAAGATGGTGTCAGATGGACTTGCATTTCAAATTCAGCTGCTTATTAACTAGGGTGACTGTGGGTCATATACATAGCTTTTTTGAATCTCCATTTCATCTGTAAAATTTAAGATCAGGGAGGTTTTACTCTGGCACCTGGATGTTGATTCCCTTTCCCATTATCCTCACACCCACTACCCCCCCCATCCCAACACAGAAGCACCCACAAAACCTGGAGACAGCAGCCCTTAGACCTCACTGGAGACAGACTTTCTGCAAAGCACTAGCACTAGCATACAATCACTGCAGACTACTTACTGCACAAGTCAATGGTGAAGAACCATTTCTGTTTTCCCTCACATGCCCATTTGAACATATGAAGTCATTTTATGCATCCCTTGGAAAATGTCACCTTTCCTTTGTCAATCTGGCCTGGTCCCTTGTCTTGGAAAAGGGAACCCTGAAGCTGGAGTCTCTATCACTGAGAATGCCCTACCTGGCACAGTAAAGCAAAGAAGTGGGACTCTAGAATAGGTCCCCACTGAAGAGAAGGCCTGAGCCCCCAGAGAAACAGGCTCGTTTGACTCACTGCTTTTACTTTCCACATATATGCTATCCCAGGTCTAATCTGTCACTTCTTTCAGGTGAGAAGACAGAGATCACGGGACAATTTATAATCTGGGCTTTTGCCCCAGTGTCCAGATAGCTGAGAAAGGTCTTGCCTTTCTGGCTATCCTGAAAGACAGCTTCTTAATTATCTAGGAAAAAGCCTACAGGATGGGAACAGACTCCTTCCTAAGGGTCCTTAACCTCAGGACCACTTTTAGCTACTTTGGGCCCCTGCTTTCAACATCATGCCACTTGGCTTTATTCTATGCTGGCAGCTAAGTGCATGTCCTGGGCTCTGACAGACCCAGGTCCAAGATCTGGCCCTGCTATTCTCTTACTGTTTAATCTTGAACAATACACCAACCTCTCTGAATCCCAGTGTTCTCATCTTTAAAATGAGGATGACACCACCTATGTTGAATTGTAAGAGCTCAGTGATAACCCCTGCTTAGAAGGCACAATACCTGACATACACAGCAAGGAGTCAATAAACGCTAACTGCATCAGCAGCAGAATCCCCTTCCTAACTCTACTATTTAAACACTAGGAAACATGGGTCAGCTAGGACCTGTGGGCTCTAGCCATGGGTAGGCAGAAATCTGCAACTCAAATACCATCTTCCCAGCTCACCAACATGACAAATGGACTACAGAGAAACCACCCATCTCTCTGTCTTCAGTATCTTGTTCCTTCAGCCTTCCTCAACTCTTACTCCTGCTCACTGCTTTATTCTCCATTAAAAGATGACTATCCTCTTTTACCCATAAGTGAAAACAATCTACTCAGACATACCACACACATTTAGAATAGTGTTTTTTTATAGTTATTAAACAAATCTTGGTCTGGTGAGATGGCTCAGTGGTCTAAAGCACCTACTTAGAACAAACTAAGCTAAGCAAAGCACAGGGACCGTGGTTCAATCCCCAGCACCACATGCCAGCCAGCCCCGCCCCCTGGTGGGCTGAACTGGCCACACACACACACAAAATACATAAATAAATAAATTAAATAAATAAACAAATCTTTTTTTTTTTTTTTTTTGCAGAACCTCGGATTAAAGTAAATCTTTTTTTTTTTTAATTTTATTTATTTGTGTGTGTGTGTGTGTGTGTGTGTGTGTGTGGCCAGCTCAGCCCACCAGGGGGCGGGGCTGGCTGGCATGTGGTGCTGGGGGATTGAACCGCGGTCCCTGGGCTTTGCTAAGCTTGTTCTAAGTAGGTGCTTTAGACCACTGAGCCATCTCACCAGCCCTAAAGTAAATCTTGATCTACTAAATTTCTAAGTTATTCTTTGCACAAATGATCACAAATTTCCCAAACTGTGCCATGAAATCAAGTTGATATTGCATGTCAAGACATTTATAGACAGATACTGCTTCCTTAGAAACAAATTTAAAGATGCAACCATTTGTGATTTGGCTCGTTCATAAATAACATGTGAGAGGGTAAATTTTCAACTACAGTAACACATAGTGATAGTATCTTTGTTTAAGTATAAATGGGAGGGCTGGAGAGATGGCTCAGTGGTCTAAATACCTACTTAGAACAAGCTTAGCAAAGCATCAGGGACCGCGGTTCAATCCCCAGCACCACATGCCAGCCAGCGCCGCCCCCTGGTGGGCTGAGCTGGCCACACACCACACTCTCTCACTCTCTCTCTCTCTCTCTCTCTCTCTCAAATAAATAAATAAATAAAATAAAAAAAAAAAGTATAAATGGGAAAGATTGTGTCTGACTTTCTAGACAAAAAACACCTTTGACATTTTGGACCCTTGAACGGTGTGGCTTTCATGCAGCCACAGTGGTCACCTTCAGCCTTTTCTCTTCAGCTACCAGCTCCCCCAAATCTGAACAGGTGTCTATCTTAAAAGGGACCGGGCACTCTTCCTCAAAAGACACTCCCTGAGCCCAATTGAGCCTCCAAGCCCCAGCTTTCAGAGAGCACGAACAGTAACTCAGGGGGCCCCACAGGACTCCACAAGGGGACCCCACAAGTCTGCAAAAACTCGACAGGGGACAGTCCCATGAGGAGCAGGGCTAAGGGAAGGCTCTGCTTTCACTTTCAGTGGCCTCTTGTGTGGTCACTCAGCCTTCCTTCTGTCTCTGGTTTAAACCATCGACCTTCCAAAACAGTGCCATCACCTGTGCTCTGGCTCCCATACCTCATGCTCTTTGGGTCTTCCCTATCCATTAGTCTCTCTGTCTTCATTCCTTGTTTCCACAGGCTCTTTCTGAGGCAACAGATTGTAATTCTTTTTTTTGTGTGTGTGTGGTACCAGGGATTGAACTCAGGACCAGGCACTTGCCAGGTAATGTAATTCTCCTAATATAAATTTTAGAAGAAAAATGACAGGATGAAGAGGTGGGGAATAAAGGGAGGCCCTCTTTTCTTCCCCCAGTTACTGCATTTTCTGTTTCCCTGTGCTGCCAAGGACCTCAAAGCAATCTCTTCTCACTCCTTAGATGCCTCTCTCCAGTCCCCTAATTGTTAGTTCTGCCCCTTACCTCACTACTCAGCTGAAATTCTTCTAGGGAATTCAGCAGGCCTCTCCAGCCAACCTAGTGACTACAGATTGTCCCTGATCTCCCTGCAGTATCTGATGCTATTTCTGCCCATGAGTACTATGTGTACCACATTTTATCAACTAGGCTTTGTCAACCTCCCCCTGGTTTGCTTAACTCTGACCAGCCATTCCTGGCTGCTCACCCTTGACCATTCTCCTATGCCCAGTGGCCTTGTCATTTACAGCCCCTAATCACTAAACTTCTGCTTAAAGGGCCTCTGAAGGGTCAGTTACAAAGCAGGGGCTTGATCCTTGCTTTTGAATGAATGAGTAAATAAATGGACCAGGAAAAAACCTATTTTGCTCCTTGCCAACTGATCATTTACTTTATCCAACTTATTTGCAATCTGAATTTCCTGCCTCAGGCCCTGGCTTCTGGTAGCTCCAACACAGGTGTCGGGGCACCCCCACGCCTACCACACACCAACCTGGAGCCACCCCTCCGCCAACCTGCTTCTCTACCTGGGTCTTATCTTGCCTAATAATCGGTCCTCTTCCTGTCAGCAGACTGGCATCTTTCTCTCCCACAGCCCTGATCCAATCAAGTTCTGTGACTCTGACCTTCAGGACATTTCTTCACCAGCTCTTTCCCTGTCCATCTGTCTAAACCAAGGCTGACAGTTGAGAGCTTATTTCCTGGACTTCTGCCTCAGTAACAATCCTCTTCATGAGCCAGAAATTTTAATATACTCAATCTTTTTATTTTCCAATATGCTATCAAGGTTACATTTCTAATGCACAATTCTGGCCTTATTCTGCTCCTCCCCAAATCTCTCCTATAACTCCTCACTGCCCAAAAATAAGGTCCAAACTACATTCAAGGCCTTCCTTCTAGGATCTGAACCAAAAGTGACCTCCCACTCCTCCCCATTTCCCTATTCCAGCTGCAGTGGACTTTACCCTCCACCTTCCACCCAGCCAGAGCAGGACTATAGTGCATTCATCTCTGTGAATCCCACTGCCTTGGCACACTTCCAGTACATAGAGATAATCAATAGATGTCTGTGCAACTGAACAGAGACTGCCCCTTGACCATCGCGGCAGCTCAGGCCAAAATCTGGTGCAGGCCCACTTTTTTATCCTCTTATTACAATGTAACCTCATTAAGTCAGCTGATGGAGGCATGCGCCTAGCCAGGAAACAGCTCCTTGGAAACAGGCAACTGAACCTTCAGGGGTGAATCTTCTTTTCTCCAGGAGCAATCAATACCTGTCTCTTTCCTTCGATCCGTTGGCATACAACAGGAGCCTCTGCCTTCCCTGACCTTTGCTCTCTGGAATGTTTCTAGCCTCTCTTCAGTGGGAAAAGAGGCAGCACTAGGGAGGTCATTGCAAACCAATGGACAACTGCTTTCCTGGGGACACTGGTTTCCAGCAGTGGCGAGTGATGACACTAAATTTAATCTTCTTGAACAGGTTTTCAGGAAAATGACCTAGTCTCAAAATATTTTATGTTGACTCCCTGAGGATCAACAACTTAAACTACTTCTTGTTCTGTGGCCTAATCATGTGGGTAACAGCAGATAAGGGGCCCCTCCTTATTCCAGAGAAGCAAGAGACATCTGAGTCCAGCTCCTCTCTGTCATCTCACCCTCTAGTGAGAGCTGATAAGGTAATGGTCCAGACTCTGCTCCCACAGAGTATCTACATTCCCAGCCTAACTTTCAGGGCCCTGCCATTTCTGAGCTCCCTCTTCTTCTGTGAATGTGAGCCTCTGACCAACAAGTCCAGCCCTTGCACCACACAACATGACACACAGTTCTGCCCACACAGGTCCCTGACTTTCCTCTTCCCCTGCC